TGTGTGTGTGTTAACACCTACAAACTAACAATCAAACCTTGATACTCAGAAGTTTTGGACACCTGTAATTAAACTTTCCTCTTCTATAAGATGAAATCATTTAAATAATCTCTTACAATATTTTTAATATCAAAATAACCATGCTGAGGGCTGGGAAGGTGGCTCAGTGGTAGAGTGCTTGCCTAGCATGCATGAAGCTCTGAGTTTTATTCCTCAGCACCACATAAACAGAAAATGCCAGAAGTGGCACTGTGGCTCAAGTGCTAGCCTTGTACAAAAGAAGCTCAGGGACAGTGCCCAGGCCCTGAGTTCAAGCCCCAGGGGAAAAAAAAAAAAGCTAATTTCTTTCAAAGCACAGGCTTTCTGAACTATACCTGTGTGTAATGACTAGTGGGTGAGATCCAAGATTGGTTAAGGATTAAAAATTACAGGAAAAATAAATAAATAAAGCCCAGCAGAGTTGTGCATAGATCCTGTAGTGCCTTGGGCAGCCAACTCTGCCATTTGCTACAGAGAAGCAGTTGCAGGAAAATAAGGAAGAAGAAGGGTTTAAGGAATGCATTTCAAGAAGAGCTGGCATCCCAAGCTTCCTCCTCTTCCTCTCAGCAGAAAAGGCAGTAAGCTGGGCAGTAGATGCCATCTGACAGTAATATGGAAATAGAGGAAAAAATCTGATTAAAAAAAAGCCCTTTTTTGTTTGTTTGCTTTTTTCGGGTAAAAAAAATCTACTTGGAGCATAAGAAAATTAATTAATTAACTTGCAGAATTTGTTAAAGGTTTTGTAAAACTCAAACCCAATACAAGCAGTATAAAGCATTTTTTACAGTTGAGATGTTGAGAGAATAAGGTGTTCCAAGAAAAACAGACCCAGTATCCAGACTTCATTAATATTCTAGAGAAGCATGTATTGGTCAGCTTTTTGTTATAGTCATTTTTTATTACCATAACAAAGAACCCAATATAGACCACTTAGAAAAGATGTATTAATTAACTCATGGTTTAGGAAGTTCAGTGTTGATGTACAGGTTGTGGGCAATGAGCCCATGGTGGATGGCCCGCAAGAATAGTCATGTAAGCCAGAAGCAGAAAGACTTGGTTAGGGCCCAACTTGCTCCTTTTACAGCAACCCTCTTAACTACCAATGGGTCATACAAGAGCCATAAAGAGCAGGGACCCCCAGCAAGACCTAAGGACCTCACAATACATTCCACTTCTTAAAAAGTTACACCAACTCCCAATAAGGCAACACAGGAGCGGAGGCTTCTAATCACATCATCCTTTGAGGAGAACAGAAGACATTTCCAAATCTTAGCAAAGTAAATCAGGCAACTTCAATGAAAACAAAAGCAATGAATCTTTTAAATGTATTTGTTCTAACAGCTCCCAGAAAATTAGAGGCTAACAGCACAGAAGAAAAATGGGGAGAGGGAAATATTCCCCTGCATGCTCAACCAATCTACCAATCTAGTTAGGGATGTCAAAAGACATGACTTCTTTCCTCTAATTATAGTTACACCAGAGAAAAAAAATCAGACTGTCTTTATCTTAAAAAGTGATTCTGAGATGGGAGTTGGTAGCTCAGGCCTATAATAGTAGCTCCTCAAGAAGACCGAAATCTGGAAATCACGGTTCAAAGCCAGAGAAGAAAGTCAGT